GCAATACAACATTATTGACTGAATAAACATCTTGTAAGTGGTGTTGAGAGTTGAGCGTGCACAGTCCCATGCGCTACCAGCAAGACGCTTCAGTGCATTCAGTCTATTGGAGACTCGTTTTCCTATTTTAGCAATGTGACTTTTCCACGTTAGCTTTGTGTCAAACGTCATTCCGAGATACGTGAACTCATTGGTTTTTTCTATGGTAGAATCCTTGTACCTTAAAAGCGGGTTTATGCTCTGATGGGCCAAAGAAAAAGTTTGGAATGCAGTTTTCGCGGTGTTAATTACCATTCCATTGTTGTCGCACCAGTTTGCTAGTAGTTTAAGCGCACAATTTAGGGCACATTCCGTCCTCTCCTGAGCGTTTTTCTTAATGGCGGAATACCATAGAACAAGATCATCTGCATAAAGTAAGCACTTGATACCCGTGACTGTCTGTACCAATTCGGCTATGTCATTGATGAAGACATTGAAAAGAGTGCAGCTTGTGACAGCTCCCTGTGGACGGCCTGTTTGTAAAAGATTTGATTTTGATAGAGCATTTCCATATATGACTTTACATGATCTTTGTCCAATGAATGCTTTTATCCAGTTTAGCATGTCATGCTTAATACCAATCTTTGCCAATTTTGCAAATATAATTTTTCTCGTTTTTTCCGGTCAAACCTGATTAGAGTCATTTTTATAACTTATAATTTCAAATTCATGAAAGTTAAAATGAGCAATCACCATTGAAGCCTGATTGAAGGTTTCTGTTTTGATGATTTTTATTCTTCTATACCTCGGTAATCCAGTTCCATCACTATTCATCTCCTCCTCTAGGGTTAATTTTACCACACGACTTGTAGTAAGATTTGTGTATTTTCTAGAGTCAAGCCCAGGAGTGCATAGTGGAGAAGGCAATATCAGACAATCGCTCACCCACTATTACAGCCAAGTTGGCGAAGAATTTGGCCGAGTCCTATGAACGCTGCTCTGCAATGATCAATGCCCTTGATGAGTCGGTGCCCCCAAAATGTCGCAAGGTTAGTAAGAATGTTGCTGCTTGTACAAATCTATTGATTCCAGTGGATCCTTCGCTCTAATACTAATTTTTTGTAACAGAGATCAATTATCGATGTCTGCCCATTTTGATTATTTTTTGCGCTTCTTTTCAAAATGCCAGCCTAGAATTGTGGTTGCATTCTAATGAACAATGTCTCAGCAATCGTTTTCTTTATCCCGTTTTAACCAAGCATCAATGGAGCTTTTGGTGGTAATGAATTAATTGCATAAATTATAGTCATATGTTCTATTCGATTCTTACTGACATGAAGCATACAAACCTCTGATATTGTTAGTTTCGACTTACGAAAATTTCGTTTATGGGTTTTAGTTCTTGTTATTGGTAGTATCTGGTTGTTCAAAAGTGCTACGAAAATTTCTTTTCCTGACTTTCCTTTAGAGGAGTCCGGGATTTCCATAAGACATCATTTGAATAAGTTTCTAGTATTTCCCAAGAAGTCCTTTTTGTGAGTGCTTAATTTTCTATCGAGACGCGTTAAGGCAACGAGCACCAGCTTTTTTTTCATCCTGACATCAACTAGAGCTCTTTCGATAACGAAGCAGATTGTGATATTTTTAGGTCAATAGCTGACAAATAAGGTGGGGGTTTTCACAATAGACTGAATGGAATTGAATATTGTTAATTGGTTGTTTGATTTAAATGAAGGTTACAATAGAGTTAACTCTTGCTTTAAAACCTCATCTTCTTCCAAATCCAGAGCCCGAGGTGTTTTTTATTCCATTTTTTTCCTAGGCTTCACTGTTGAGGAATGTCCGAAGTGTTAAATCAGCCAAGTAGAGATCTCAGTCGATACGACCTTTACATTTTATGAAGTTGTCAGTCAGGATGGTGATTTATTCAATCTTGCTCGTTCGCAAGGTTGAAAACATCCAGAAATATTTGAGGCATTTATGGGACTAACATTTGCCTCCCCTTTCGCAGTTGCTTTTGTCTTCTCACAAAGCTAATCCAGTATGGTTGCCATGACAATGGCTAATTTTGCGCCTTATCTATCTATCTTTTTGTTTATTTGGCAGCCTACAGCTTACTTTTCCTTTAGACGAAAATTACTATTCGAACGGTTGATTTAAAGTGTTGTCTTCATTATTTCTTGATCAATTGGAGAAATTTTGGAGGAAGTTAATTTGTCTGTATCTAATTTTCTCTTCAATCTGTCGACCTTACTGATCTTCACCACAGCAACACGGCAGAGGGAGAGAGAGAGGAGAGTGTTGTGAATAATCTTAGGACTGTGTTGAAATAAATATAGAAGTTGTAATTTGGAGACGCAACTGGTGTGTTGCACTGACTTTTGGTGGTTATTGCTCAAGCGAGCGAAGAATCGAAAGTGGGGATCATTATTCAATCAGTGGATGAACTTGCACACTTTCATCAGATTAATTCCTTCACTTTTGATTGCATTGAAGTTTACGTTCTTATTGATTACCATTCACACCCACGCACCCAATTTCATTTTTTTCTTCGTATTCTATCCTCACATGATGCAGTTATTTGCACTAAATATAAGCACCTGATGTTTGCTTTCTTAGCGCAACTCGGTAGGAGTTATTCAGTGTTGGTGTTTTTACGACGTTTCTAAATGGGAGATGAGAGATCAGCTTCTTGTCAATTCAAGAGATCACCACTAATATGACACTTTAAACTCTTTCTGAAAGCACACTTCCTTACTTTGGCATTTACGGTTGAAAGCTAACCTTGCCTCTCTCTCTCTCACTAAATATAAACATTTACTTAATTTTTTCCTGTGAAAAAGCTGCTCTTACTAGTCTACAAACTCCTAAGAGCAAACTTACCTGATTTGAACTACTGTTTTCCTATTTCTCTTTGGTTCTTCAGAGGCTATTCAAGTCACATCGGGCAAACCAACAAAGGGGCAAATATATGAGTGCCAGAAGGCATACTTTGTTAGGTTTGTGTATCTGATTCAATTACAGCGCAAAAGTGCATGGGGGGCAGTTAATACCTGATGGCCAAAATAGCAAGTGCAGTGTGTAAGTACAGAAAGGGAGCTTACTATCGTATTGTTATTTGAAGGCAGTCAATATGGGACATTATAAATGACAATATACCGAACTTTCAGTATTTCAGTATTGTTCCACAATGGCTCAACACTTGACATTAGTAAAAAATTCGTTCCAATCAGACTGTTGATAATTATAATATAATTTTTTCTGGGAACAATGGGAAAAACTAGTAACCTTAAGTAACGTTCTCCATTAAAAAAAAACTCGCTGAACACAATGTATGATCATTCAAGTTCTTAAATATTCGCTTACCGCAACAACGAAGTTTGATAAATATCGACGGGCGCTTTTTGTGAAAAAAATTAAAATACTTCTTCAAGTGCCCGGAAGGCGATTAGTATAATGTAGCATTATGAAGTAAATCAACTATGCAAAAACCGGGTTAGCGAATCAAAAGATAACCCAAAGATGGAATAAAATTGTCTAGATCATGGTTAGACCTCATTTTGACCCACTACGATCTGAAATCAAATCTGAGTAATGACGTCTTCTTAACTTCAGCTGTAGTTTGTAAGGTTTGAGAACTTTCGAAACAAATTATTCTAGAAGCCTTTAAATATTCGCATGGTGTGTGTGGAGGAAGGATTAACTTGTGTGGCCAGCTCCACTGCCTAAATTTGTTTACAAAGAAAAATTATTTATTCGGTCGCCAGAATATCTTCCCTCATCTCAGGTTAAGTATTGTTAATACTTAGATTATTAATTTCTTCTACAGTACGATGATCTCTCATGTCACACTTTTTGACCGTTTCCGTGTCTTTGGTGTTCTTTATATTCGTTATATTTATTTCATTTCTTATCTGTGAATACTTTATACCTGAATACATATTTCCAATTACATTCCTTTGAATTCACATTGAATTATAAATATATATGAGTGTTGATTTTCCCCTCAATTTTATTTGTTGCAGGACTGGTCAAGAGTGGCCTCTATTAAAAAGTCCTACTACTGTAGTTTGGTAAATTACTTCATGGCTCTTGACAACGCCAATGAGATGAAATTCGGCATCACAGTTGCGCACTTCAAGTTGGCCCAGACGGAGATCGAAGAGGCCTGGCGTGTGGCCAAAACCTTCACCGATTCCATTGAACCTCAATTAGGACAGGGCATGATCGCTACCATTCAATGCGCTCGAGAACTTATTGTTAATGGGTATATTTTTCTTATTTTATTCGTTCTTGATCATTAGGATGAGTTTGCCTTATACGAAGCATTCAGGGTATCAGGCACGTTACTATTTATCTCAAATGGTAGGCGTTTTGATTGTTATCATTGCCCTTTTGTTGACCGCAGGCTTCACAGAGGGGCAGGAACATTAAAGTGAATGAAAGTCTAGAGGGGGGGGGGACAGAAGAGTGTTTCAAAGATGAAGGTAGAAAAAAGGTGAGGTGAGTACTGTGGAATTAGTCGAATATGACATACAGTGGGTGTGTTGGTAGCTTGAAGTCAGAAGTCAACTGCCAGTTAATGGACTTTTTTGCCGTATGAGTATACGTTGCCCAGTGTGCACCACGTGGAGGTAAGTCTATCGCACACCCCTTGTTATAGATATAAATATAAGTTAATTTCCCACTTTTCGAGTTTAAATAATTCTACTGATCGAATAAAGCACAGTATCATAAATCAAAATACCTTGTTCCAATGGCAGAAGATATTATCGGATAATAGATTAGCACGTCTAAGCGTATATGAATGAATGCAACAGAGTACCTATCACCACAGTCGTTAAAGGGTTTTTAGTTGACGTTTAGGCATTCTGATCGATCATGTCCACTCGAGTTTTTTTACTGTCTCCTCGTGACTTTGCTCTAACGCGTGCAAACTATATGGCATTTGGCGTATATCTCTTATTGCAGTGTTTCAGTTCCGCTGGAGCCTAATTTTCAAGATTGCTAAGTCCATGCTATTAGTGGGTAATGAAATGGTCCCATTTCTAACCTGTTATTAGTTATCTA